ACACATATATATATATATATACACACATATATATATATATATACACACATATATATATATATACACACATATATATATGCACATATATATATACACATACATATATATATATATATATATATAAACTATCAACAGGCCCAAAGGATGAAAAAGAAAGCAATACATACCCTCAAATAAACTTTTGTCAAGGAAAATAACTGAAATTTATATGATAACACCTATAGCAGTACTGTGGCTTTAAAAGAAACACCCTGGGTCTGTTCACAGGTTTTACATTGTCAACAATGATAAAACAGCCTGAAATACATCACAGAATAATGTTTATTGTTCAGCCAAGACAACAATTGCTTAAATCGTTTAAGTTGAATCGCCTGCCACATTTTAAGTTACTTGAAATCAAAAAGGTCCTTCAATTGTCAGTAGTTTCCTGAGATTACAATCACTTTTATTCCAATACAGGCTTATACAACAAACCCAAAAGTGTCACCCTCATAAAAGTGCCATCTGATGATGAGCTGCAGCTCCCACCTCTAGCTATGCTTCTGACCTCCTTTCATTCTTATTTCACAACCCCCAATTCGCTTATTAATGTTCAATATTCAACATTATTCATAATCCATTTGTGGCTATATACAGCAATGCATGATGATATGTAATGAAAACAATAACAAATGAAAGACTTTAGAAATACACTTTGTAAGGGTTATCTTCATTTGTGATAAAAACCTTGATACTGAAGAAAATTGTTTTACCCTTACTTCAAATTTTAATGCCTGGACTTGGTTGTAGATATTAGTTTTCAACAAAATCAGTATAAATTAATAATTTATAAACTATATTTTAATATGATGAGTAATTACATTGTGTACATTGCTGATAAATTAATCAAAATTAATGCTCGTATAGTTTAAAAAAATATGTCTGAAGATTTGTTCCACTCGTGGAACCAATGGACACTAAAAGGTTAAATAATTTGCTTTATGTTTACATGCCATTCCTTCATTCAAATAAACAAAATTCTAGACTAATCCAAACTTACTCATCAGAAGTTCCCAATTCCCACCCTGTTTATTCAACCCTACCCTGTAAATAAAACAAATGAACCTTTAAGCTTGGTGTTGTGATGTCTTCTAGTTTGTGATGTAGAAGCTCTACCTCTGTACCAAATGACTACTGACTTATTAGTAGTTGCTTGATTCTATGCAAAATAGGGCATGTCCATTTTGCCTATATCACTACAACTCCCAGAAACAAAGAGGTTTTATGACCTTCATTGATCTATGACTTCTCCGAACAATAGTACACGATCTTATCTCTCTCTCTCTTGACATGTTTACCTGTTTCTTTTTATTGGGGATCTATGTCTGGACTCATCTTCATTCTGATCTTCCAGCTTCATAATATGTAATATTTGGTTGCCTTCCTATCCTGAACTCTAACCACTTCAGGCAAACCAAAGAATGAATTGTCCAAAACTGAAAAATAGTCTTTAACATGCATATAATCCATATGAATGCAGACCTATGGCTCTTTTTCTTTAGGCCATGAATGTATTTTATTTCCCTACATTTGGGGCATTTTTCTATGTATTTTTCTACATCACGCAAATACCTAGGCCACCAGGCTTTGAATTTTAATCATCTCTGTGTTGCTGTTATTCCACAATGAACATCATTGTGTACACTTTTTTACGCTTTCTCTTAATTTCTTTGGTGGTATTAAAACATTTCCATTGCATATAAGACCCTTCTCTATAGTTAACCAGTGCTTTATCTCTTTACAGGGTCTTGTTGCCCTAGAATAATCACTCCATTTCTTTCTTTTGATTCTGCATGCAATCTTGCTTAATACCAGAATCTGCAAATACAAGATGATCTAAGAGTAATCAATCTGTTTCAATCCAGTGCAATATTTTATCTTTTGAATTGTCTGATCTTTCTAATGGTTCATTGTTGAACTTTAGTCATGATAGAGCCTCTGCATGTGGAATAGTGTTTCCTTTCACATATTCAATGTTGAAGCCAAAAGTCATGATCTATATGGTACATCTTAAAATTCTAGATGTAACTTTAGATAACTGCTTCCTGGGTTAAAAATAAACTGTAAATGTTTATGATCAGATTTAAGCAGAAACTTTCTGCCTAATAAAAATTGGTGAGATGTATCTGATAGCTAATGCTATTTTTAAATATTTGAATAGTTAGCCTCAGCTGACATTAAACTTCTAGAAAGTTACATTATAGGATGACCTTTTTGAGATAAAATCATTGATGTGGCATGCTCACTTGCATCCATAGTTAAAGTCACTTCCTTTTTAGGTTAAAAAATTTCAAAGTTCTTTCTTTAAGTTTTCAAATGCTGTATTCTGCTAGTGAGTCTTTAGTGAGTGCAAAATAATAGTAACTTCCTTCACCCACTCCAATCAAATTCAGAGGACTAAGGAAGAAGAAAGAAAGGAACTATATGAAATTGTTTTTGGACCAGTGAAAACCTTCACTTCAAAGAAATTAACCAGTCAGCTGAGAAGAAGGAAAGGAAGTAGCGAGCCTATGTGAAATTCTTTTTGATATAAAATGAGAAGAAAAATTAAATTAAAGAGAAGAGTGTCTGAAGTCATGTGAAAAGTTTTGTTTCTGTTCCTCATGACCATCATTGAAGTTCTCACTAGTGTAAAATTACTCTCCAATTATATTATCAGACTCAGCATTTCAAATAATTTTCTTTCAACAATCCAAGAAAGCTAAGTATTTCCAACTCTCTTCATCTACTTTTTAACATATACAAACCATATATTCCTTCAGTAAGCAATGAATTCTCTTAACTTTGCCTTAAACATTTTTGAATATTATTTTGTGTTAGATCATTTAATCTGTTGTATGAACATTTACTCATCATGACAATACATTAAAACTATGGACATCTGCTTTATTTACCTGAAACAAGCTACTGACACTACTTCAAGTGTGTAAATTCATCAATAAACTCCATATCTTGTTTTGTTAAAAATTATCTGTGTGTTTCCTTGTCATTATCATTCTTCATTAATCTTCTTGGGGTGGGTAAATTAACAGTGAATTTTAACCCATAAGCTCCACGCCGCTATAAGTCCATTTAAATTTGCTGTTCTTTTTTCATAACTCTGCAAAGGGTTTTATCAATTCACTAAACTTTGGCAAATATCTGTTGTAAAAATTGGCTAACCCTAAAAAGATTCCATTTCTTTTTTATTTGTAGGTGTAGATATCTGCTATTTTCTTTATCAAATTTGTGTCTGGAGAAATTCCATCCTTAGAAATCTTGTATCCAAGATATGTTATTGCGTTGCAATTTAACACACATTTATCCTTGTTTATGGTCATCCAAGCATTTTAAAAAATTTTTTTAAAAACATGATCCTTCTTTTGTTTTAGCTCTTCTCTACTGATAGGATCAATACGTATATTGTCTTGACAGATTATCATATTCTTAACCTTGCCAGTTAATACATTTTCAATGGCTCTTTGAAAAATAGCACTTCCATCTGAGTGAACATATTGGAGAATTAGTCATAGTGATCTCTTTAAATTTTTTATCTATATGTTTCTGGTTATAGACAGATTTGAGGTCAATTTTGGCAAAGTATTTAATTCCCAACAACCCATGAATAGCAGTTTCAATGTTAGGAATATTAGGTAACAAATATTTGATGGTCATTTCTTCAGTGCCAAGTTTTTCAAATTCTCAGGATCTGGAAGCCTGTCATAGCTTGTGTACATACTGTATTATTGCTTTGTCTGGGTTTTGTTTGCTTGTGAGAAACCTTGTCCTCTCAGCAATAGCCAACTTCTTTCTTGGCCACAAATTTCTCTTGATAATGACCAAAATTTGTGAAAAGGTCAAATCCTCCAATTCTCTAGGTTATGCGATGAGAGAGAATTTTCTGATGTCCTCACATCCTGCTGAAGTCAAAAAGTTATCTGTAAACTTGTTCTCCTCTCCTGCAACTTTGTGGCCTTTTAACTTATTGGCCTGCACCTGTGCAGCAAAACAATGAATTCATGTTTCCACAAAGTGCAGCTCATCCAACGGTGTTAGAGATCCTATCAGTAATACCATATTGTTGTGATGTCTTCTCTACCTATGTATCAATTGATGACTGACTTATTAGTAGTCACTTGACTCTAGGACAAGTCCATTTTGCCTATGTCACTATACTTGAAATGAAGCATTATTCAATGCAAATCGATCACTGCAACTATGTAAGGTTTGACCGTCACTTTTTATAGTAGGGTAGTTTGAGAGAGAGACAACTATGGGTACCTTCAGTATCCACCCCTTAGACATTCAAGTCCTAAGAGTAAGTGGAGTGGTTCCATAAATTTTGCTCAAAGTTGAATATGATATTTACATTATTCATTTATTATTGATCTTACAAGTAAAAGAAATAAACTACAACAGGTATAAAGGATATAAAAGACTTAAAATCAAAATCAAGCTGCCAAAGAAGCAAAACTTTCTTTTACAAAACTGCTATCTTTATCCCAATGATTGGTGCCATGAATATTATGAAGACTAAGCAAAAGAAAGAAAAAGGTTATTTGACCTGGTCTCTAATCATATATCCAGCATTTGTCAATCTCAGATAATTACTCATTGGTTAATGGAACACTAGAAAACAAGTTGAACATTCTTTGTTTAAAAGGAGTGTTGTGGCTCAGAGATATATTATATTTCAAATGCTATAGTCCCACTTTTGTTGACTTCAAAATATAGTTTACTTGCTGGTATTCAGTATAATCTAAATTTGTCTTTAAACCTGATAAGTTATTTTTTCTTCACCCATATTTATATTATTCACTTTCATGTATATTTTTTATTATTTTACATTTCTGTTTCTCCTCTTAAAATGGTTCGGCCAGTTGAACCAAATATAACAAGTAACACACATAAAACCTTGAAGCAGCATGCAATGTTTTAAACAGGAAATGGAAGCTGTCCATGCACAAATGCAAATATAATTGATGGACACAGCTAAATGGAATATTGTCCATATTGTATTTGCTATAAACCCATTAAAGTACTTAAAGGGTTTGCCTCTCTCTCTCTCTCTCTCTCTCTCTCTCTCTCTCTCTCTCTCATATCTATATGTTGGAAAATATTGCCATCAACTTCTGATCTGAACTGACTCTTGGTTTTTGAACATGCTAGGATATCATAAAAATACCATGACTTGACTTTTATACACAGCTTTGCTAACATTATGGAAACAGATAACTATACATATATGAATACCAATATAATTATGTATTTGGACAGCAATCCTTCTTTTATACAAGTTTCATTAAAAACAGCTGGTAAGGTACTGCAGTTAAGTTTTTACTTAATTCTTCTTGTGTTCTTAAATTTTTTTTTTCTTTTCTGGACATAAAGTATGTAGAAATTGTCCAACTGTTCTGTATGTCCAAATGCTTTTGGCTATTCTTTTAGCCATTATCAAGGATGATTTTATTTTTAATTTTAATTGAATGTATGGATTTTTTATGTATGAATCTAGAGTAATAGGAATGTTTTATTTCCCAAACATGATTAGCCCATTGTGGCTGTGTTCATAGTTGATATTATTGAGTGTTGGCTTTTCCTTTTTTGTTAATAATGCCTCCATTATTTTTAGCCTTTTTTTACATGTGGATGAAGCTGTTATATTTGTATTGTCCATGAGTATGTTGTGGATAGAGTTTGGTAGGTCTCTATGTGTGTTTAAATGAGACCTAATTAGTCAGAGAGATGTAATGTGATTCTTCTGTAATGTATGTCCAATATAATTAGTCATAAATTTGGTTGGATCAGGAACACAGTTCTTTAAGGGACATAGGAATTTATAAATAATATTGGTTCTCTATAATTTGGATCTTGCAGGTGAATTATTGTTGTTGACAATGAGGTTAACAGTTATAATTTTTTTATAGCAGATTATTTAATTTTCTTGTTTTTCTCAACTGGAGTTATATATTTCTTTATAATGCTTCAAAGGGAATATTCATCCTGCTTATAGTTAGTTTGCATTTGATTTTCATAGAGAATGTTAATGTTATTGTTTTTATCTGCACATTCAATGTTGCTAATGGTTAACTTAGAAAGAAAAAGTCTAATTTGGTGATCTATGAGGCAATTTGGAAAACCATTATTAACTAGCATCTGTTTCACATTGTGAAGTTCTTTAAAGGAAAGTGGTGTGTGTGTGTGTGTGTGTGTGTGTGTGGTGTGTGTGTGTGTGTGTGTGTGTGTGTGTGTGTGCTAATTTACTGACCACTACCCTGTAATAGGCACTTTACTGGGGGTGATATGTATATGAAACAGACAATTTTATAAAATTGAGAACTTTTCTTGTTTTTTACTTAAAAGAATACTGTTGCCATATCTGGTCAGGTGCTCCTGCTACTTAGCATCTCGACTTCAGTCACTTTCTCCCCAATGTGACATGGCTTCCCTCTGTCTTTTTTTATAAATATGTTCATGGCTGCTGCTTTGACAAATTTTGGTGCCCGTATTATATGAGTTTAAGCATGCTACTAGATTGGCATCTAGGTCTCACACTTTTACTGTTGAATTAGGTAAATGTAACTGCCACTTCTACTCTAACAATTTCTTTTCTTGCACTTGCCACCTGTGGAACTCCCTACCATTTCCTTGCTTCCCTGATAATTACAATCTTCAAAAATTTAAAGGCAACATCAATCGCCATCTTCTTCAAACCCCATTCATCTTTTATCCTTTCCTTGATCACCCACTATACCCAGTCTATTCTCTCACCTTCACTCTCTGTACTAATAGCATTCCCACCTTGCTTGGGGTGAAATGATTTTAAAAAAAAAATTTTTCTCCCATAATAAAGATATATATATTTTGTAAAGGAGTTTTTTCTTTTTAATTTTGCACATCACATTTTCAAAATTTCAACCATTAAAAAAAATGTTCTGTTGTCTTTGCAAATTTGTTGACCAGCCTAAATTTAAAATATAGGCCCAAACTGCTCCTAAAGCAAGTAGGAAGATTTCCAGTTTAAAAATAACTAAATAAAAAAATGTCCCATCTCTAAGTGAGCAGCAACAGTTACCCATAACAGTCACTGAAACAAGTGTAAGTTACACCCATATTGGAATGTTGCTAGTTGCTGGGTAAAATCCAAATTTTTTCATAATAGAACAAGGGTCATAAGTAAGAAGATATGAAGAAAGAAGAAAAAGTGAGAGTGAAGGAAAATTGATGGAGTGGTGAGAAAGAAAGAAAATAGAAATTAGTCATTCTTAGTCTTCTAGGGAAAGGAAATAAAGAGTGAGCAATTATAAGAAGGAGTAGCTTTTTGGGGGAAGGATTAAAGTAAATGTATCTGAAGAAAAGATGGAAAAAGAAAAAAACAGAAAAGGAGAAATTCAAAAGAAAGTCAGAGAGAGAAGACAGTGAAGACATGAAGAAAAATGTGAGGGAGAGAAAGAGAGGGATTGGATATGGAAGGAAAATAAGAAAAAAATAAGAAAGAAAAGGAACCTTTATTGGCAATGAAGTACTAGAAAAGAGAAAAAGATGAATAAATAGGAAGTTAAATGGAAAGAAAAATATGTAAAAGATGAGTGTTGATATAAATAAGAAATGGAAAAAGACTGATAAAAAAAAACAAAATGGTAAATATATAGAAGGTCTCTCAAAGAAAGATGAAGTAAGAAAGAGAGAAATGCTATGTTGGCTGAAACAAAGAGAGAAAGCTCGAAATATAAAGATAAGCAGGAAGCAAAAATAAATAATTAATTCCTAGAGAAAAAGAAGGAGAAAGCAATGAGACTTCTTTAGGTTTACCAAATTAGTACTTTTCACCTATTTTATACTTTTGGTGCAGTTATCAAGAAGATTCAGTAAATTTTGGAGGTTTTGTCTAAAACAAGTTTTCATGGTTTATTTAGTAACATATATAAAATAAAAGAACCATGCATAATACCTAACAATCAATAAGAGATTCAGAAATGCAGTTCTATACTCTAAGACTAATCCCAACTCCAATTGTGGAATTGATTACTGATTAATTCATATGCAAAAACTCACACTTCATTTATAGAAATTAAAGAAATCTAAAGCAATGTCTAAACTAAAATAAAAACGACTCCAGGATGACTCAGTTTGCAAGCAGATGTATGCTGATGCAGTTATGAACAAATACAAAAACTTAGAAGAGGTCAGGATTTCAAAGTGAAACACCTTCAGGAAAGTTGTAGCAAATGAGATCAAGAAAAACAAAAAGGAAAAAGAGAAATAAAATTAGACAAAAAAAGAGAAGAAAAGAAATAAAATGAGACATGACAGATGAAATTCTTGAACTGATGAAAAACAGACAGCAAACAATGCCTAGGAATGGCATAATGTATATAGGATGTTAAGCAAAAACATCAGGATAAAATGCACGCAGACAAAATAGGAATGGCTCAATGTGAATTGTGAAGAAGTAGAAACACTGCAAAACATAGATAGAATAATAAAAGAAATGACAAAAGATGTGCTACACAAAATGATGTATAAAATGTAAAAAGGGAATGCTCATAATAGAAAAAGAAGAGATACTTCAAAGACAGAATGAATACATCAGAGAAACTTTCAACAAAAACAGAGGAAATAAACTGACACTATATAAAAACATGGAAGCACTTGTGTTATATAGGAATAAAGTGCTGCTGCCGACACTTGAGTTTGAACATAAATCACCAGTGAGCAAACACAGGCAATCCCATTATTGAATTAAGTAGACCACATGACCATACAGGAAACAGATATATATAGGAAGTAGCAGACAAATAATGATCACTATTTCTAGTCTATCCTCTATACTATACAGATCACCATTTCTATTCTATTCTTTATTACTATATGGACCACTATTCTCTACTCTATTCACTTTACTATTTCTCTATTCAGATCACTATACAGATTACTATTCAAGCAAGTATTATCGAGCAAGTACTCTTAGTGCGAGTGATATTCAAAGGCATCTGACACCAGCATTGTTCAATGGCATACTATAGTTGTGTCTACAATGACAAAGGCTCTACTACAATGAGCATTACCAAAATGACAACGAGTATTCATTGACATCACAAAAGTGGCAACGAGTATTTGTTGACATCACAAAAAACTTGCAATATTAACATCTGATGGTAAAGATGTTTCATGTGGAGAACCATGATCACCTACATCCTGGAGGAACATGGCACATAAAAGAAAATATAAAATTATCAGTTTTAGAGTTTATCAATTTTAGAATTGGAGATCTCATGGCAGTCTTGGAAGCAAAATGTGAAAATACTAAAATTAGATGACAATCAAGGAGATTGAGCTTACATAGCCCAATGACCAACAGTTTCCAAACAGTTTTGACAACCTAATTTCCTTGTCAAGGTTTTGGTCAACCTGTGGTATAATTTCCTGGCACTTCTCAATAGTGTTACATGTTGTGATCACCTTCCAGATCATTATTATCAAGAAGTCATTTCCTGACAAATCAACCATTGGATTGAAATCCAGGTCTCATGGTCAGAATATTAATGCTCTAACCACTTGGCCATACCCCTATATATATTTATATATAGTATAGCCATAAAGTCATATAAAATAAGGATCTTGGAAGATGAATTTAATCAGCTATTTCTGAGTATCACTCCATATAGGTAAGAAATAAGTGATTAACCATATATATGACGGGGAGATGTTTCAAAAGTTTTCATTCTGAATTTTCTCCCTTTTAAAATGATTCTAAATTATTGTTTTATTTGATTAACTTAATATAATATATTGCTTATTGTTGGGGCGCACCCACCTTCTGACTGATAATGGACTTATCCCTCTATGATATAAGTCAGTGCTAGAGAAAGTAGTGGTGTTGTGCGAGGATCAGGTTCAGCGACAGCAATCGAGATCAGGTTACCATTACATACCGTTGGACTGTAGACTTTTGCTATTGTTACTAACTGGCGTTCCTTATTACTAATCACTCTGTTGTTAATTACCTCTTACAAATATACCAGTATTTATCCCTACAACTGTGTTTGTCTTTATTCGAATACACACACGCGGGAACACTCCCAACAACTCAACACTTATATATATT